TATACAACCATATAAATAACTGTAACAATTGGAATTCATGTATTTACATTTCTTACCCTTAGTATGAAAATTTATGACAAATTGGTCCTCTCGTACGCTAGGCGTACTTGAGGAGTACGCTTAGCGTACTAAGGGATGAGTGATCGCGGAGGCTGGCCATGTACGCTGGGCGTACCAAGGGTACACGGGGCGTACCCGACTGAAGACCAAACCCTAATTTTCGGGCTTGAGACGTATTTAAATGTCCTTAAGTCTTTTGGACCAAACCCTAATCAGCCTCCATAGCCTCATTTCGTCCCTCAACCTTAGATTTCCTTGTGACAGTGATTCTTGAGATTAGAAAGTGTGTTGGTGGCCATTTTAGAGAGCATTCAAGAAGGAGAAGGCGGTGAACAAGCTTTGGGTGTCATTGAGCTTTCAGATCCTGCATCTAATTCATCTTGAGGAACTTCTGGAGGTATAAAGTCATGACCTTGTCATCTCTTTTGATTGTTTGAGCTAAGGTTTTGTTATGAAGTCCCTTTTTGGATTTTGGACCTTCTCTTGTGAGTTGAGCAACTCCAGAGATTAGAATTTCTAGATCTAAGCTCCTTGAGCATGTTTGATGCATAAAGATGTCATCTTGAAGGTAGTTTTTACTCCATGCATAAGCTAGAGGTCTTAAATGGGGTCTTAATGAGAAGAATGAAGTATTGGGGTCACTCATGGCATGCAAGGGCATAAAGTTGCCAACTTTATGCCCTAGGACATCTTAATGGACTCAGATCTAAAGTTTGACGTTGAAATTCCAAGTATTAAGCACTTCATGATCGTATGTTGCAAGTCCTGCTTGTACGTCGTGTGTAAATTTGTGTACGCAGCGCGTACTGCTTAAGGGGGTAGTACGCTAAGCATACTAGAGTGGTACGCAGGGCGTGCGTACTCCAGTTGGGTTTGGGCTTTGTGTGGGCTTGGAAGCTTTTGGGCCTTATTCAGTGTTGAGCCTAGTCCCATTTAGAGTTTTGGGTTGATTTTCTGTATCGGGCCATAGTTGTTTTGGGTTGGGTCTTATTGGGCTATGTGGCCCATTAATGGTCTTTATCATGGATCTTAGGCCCATTACCAAAGGGGAGACTTTTGGGGCATTATGGAAGGACTTAGGCTTAAGTGTTTGGACTCTTTAATTAGGTTGTGTATAATCCTAATTTAGGTTTAATTGTATCATTGTTCAGTGTGTGGTTTCGGACTGTTAGGCAAGCAACTTTCGTGTTTAGCAGATTGAGGTGAGTCTTCTCACTACACTCATGGGTCGAAGGCACCAAAACCGACCCATTAATTGATATGAGATGATTAGTAATGGATTATGTAATTGCTTTCTATTTGATCCATATGTGGAATTATGTGAAGACCATGGGAGGAGCCCATGACATATGACAAGACTATGGGAGGAGCCCATGGCTAGGGGATATAAGATCATGGGGGTAGTCCATGGAATTTCAAATGAAGACCATGGAGGGAGTCCATGGCAAACTTATTTGTATGTGTGCATGGAATTATGTGATTATATGATTCGTGTGTTTTGGGAAACTCACTAAGCTTGTACTTACAGTTTTATTGAATGTTTCAGGTACTTCTAGTGATAAGGGCAAGGACCCGACTTGATGACGCAACGTGCATTCTCCAGTGTTGTCACATTTACTTTTCATACTCTAAACTTTAAAACAATATGGCTATGTAATGGGATTGTTGGACACAATGTGGTTGATATTTATGAAATAAAAAGTTAAAATTTTTTGTAAAAGTTTGGGTTGTTACAATAACAAAAAAAGGAAGTGGGATAAAACTTGTAAATATCCAATGCGACAAAGGAAATTAAAAAAAGGTTCACCATATAGTTATTCCAATAAATTATGTCCCATTGTACAAAATGAAACCAAAACATCTTACATGACTAATTATCCTATTGGCCAAAATCAATCAAATGCACTTAATAATAGGATGCGATATAGAATGTGTTGTCATTTCATAACTAATTATACACATGATTGCAGATAAAAGACATGAAAGACCATTACTCAGGATGCCTAATCAGTTCAAGAAGAAGACCCAATCTTGATAAAAGATAGAATCAAGTCAGGATAGGCGTAGTCCAAAATGGTATTAAAAGTGCTAATTTAGTATTCAAATTAAACACTGGAAATAACACGATGAATATGCAAAAAAAGGTATTAGAAGCTGATGTTTAAAAATTAAACACATCCCTAGTACTTACCCCAAAATATTTTCCTGAAGCAGCATTCAGTTCCAAGGAAATCATTGGCTACCATATGCTATGTTGGGGTTACACAAAGAGTTTTAAGTGAGCATCTAAAATAAATTCTTATCTTACATACCTTTTATGGGAAAAATGTCATTAAATCACCCAATTAATTAAACTTTGATCCACTGTAGTCAACATCCATGTTTAATAAAATCAACCGCAATTCAATTTATGATATGCAACACCTAGTTTAGAAATTTGTTAGTTAACCATAGATTCGTAAACAAACCATATACATATAAACAAAAATGAAAATAGAGTAAATAGAAATCACCCACACAAAGGTGAAATTTATCAGGTTCGATGAACAAGGGGATATCTCTTGATTTGAGAAATTTTATTGCTTAGTTGATGTCGTTGGCAGAGACACAATCTGTAATAATTTTTTTAACAAAATCAACATATTTATGATTTCAATCGACGTTCTTGGTGGAGCCGGCCCAAAACCATAAATTAAGATAAAAAGAAATAAAAAAAGACATTGGGTGCTTTTGTCACTTTGAACCTAGTGGGAAATAGGTAATATGGAGTAGATAGATTTACCTGGTAACTGTAATAACTCCATATATTCCTCTTGTATGGGTGGTTGAAGAATGACGACTATTGGTCATGGCAGAGATAGAAAAGGAAGGGAGAGGGTGAGGAATGGAGGCTAGGTTTCTTTTGGGTCCAGGGTTCAGGGTTGTGAAGATTGGACGTTGGCGTCTGGGGATATATGGGGGCAGGTCCGATATAAAGGACAATGTGATTGTGAACGACAAATTTGGAATTCAAATGATGGATTGAGCAGGAGAAGGTGGAGTTGATGATGGAACCAAATCAGAAAAACAAAACCCTAAATCGAGGTGGTTCAGTGCTATTCAAGAGAGATATAGTGATAGATAGGAAGGAAAAGAAGAGAGTGTTGTGGTTCGCTATTGGCCGATGATAGTGAGATGGTGGTGGAGGTAGTAGCTGATGATGGTGGTGTAGGTGATAGTCGATGATGGTGCAGAATGAAAGAGAGAGGTGGTGCAACGATTTTGAAATACAGAAGAAAGAGTTGAGGTGGGGGAGGGTCATATAAATGGCGAAAAAGATTAACAACGGAAGAAAGTGCTACATAGTGGGAAGGTTGTTGGCCAGGATTGGTGATGGGACCGAGTCAAAGATCCATCAATGATTAAAACGTATGTTTAATAGATAAGATTTTTATTTTTTCAATGCATAAAATAGTTGTAAATGCTGCTTTAAGGGGTACATCTCTTAAAATTCAGCATTTGAGGCTAAATGCTTATTAAGATATATATATATATATATATATATATATATATAT